GTGAATTGAGCGACTCAGTCTGAACGAGGTGGACCAAGGACTCCTTGCTCTTGAAAGTTCTCCATGAGTGCGCACTGATAGGAGTTGCATTCGCAGCGCAGTGGCAAGCGCACAGAAATGGTGCATGCGTATGTTTGTTGAGACAGATTAGTCATTACATTCAACCTGGCCTTGTAGGGTCACGACAGCTGGTCCCTTCCATTGTGTCGTCATGGCTAGAGGCCGCCCTCATGGCCGGTCCAAGTCGGACCACAGAGTCTGTCAGGAAGCTCGGTATGCGCGTGCTGCTCAGTACAGGGAGAGGATTACAATTAGCGCTGAGCAGCAGGAGGCGCGGATTGCGGCCGTAAACGCAGAGTGCAATGTGGAGCATGCTTCTCGTAGGCGGCGGAGGCGGGAGTCGAGGGAGTTGAAGACCAAGGCAGGGGCTGCTCGGATGTCCGCAGGGAGCCGTGCTTGCAAATTGTCTGGCGGTGGAAAGAAGAAAGCAAAGAAGGGCCTCGAATATTCGCTTGGCAAGGCTGCAGAAAGAGGTGAGTTCTGGTAAATGGCTTCTGGTTTGACTGGATTGCCTTATCAGGCCGAGGCGGAACAGAAGCTGGGACGCTTTGCGCTGCAAGATGTAAAGGTGACTGGTGGGCTGGCCCTGCCACGAGTACCAAGAAGAGCATTTTTATTTCTATAAGACCAATGGACATTGTCTGGTGCACTGCAGTCAATCATAACCTTGTTCGTACAGTCACGCGGATGGTGGCCTTGCATTGATGCGTTTCTCTTTCGCTATAAAGGGAATGAAGTTGGTCCATCCTTTTCTCGCTAGCGCCGTCTTAATAGCGAAGGGGTGCGACTAGTCCTGCAACTCTGTACCAAGAATAGCATGGTTTCAGTGAGAAGGGTGCCCCCAGGCCTCCTTTTGCACCAGGGAACACTTTGCTTTTGTTCACGAGCATTATTGATTGCTGGCCCTGCAGGGACGTACCGAGCTTTGCATCTTTCTATTTAGAATATAAGAGGCTGTTTCTCGGTACATGCTGTCTAATACAAAGTTCTTGAGAAGTCTTAGCAGGCATGGTCGTTCCTGGGTTGTACCAGACATTGCCTCTTTCTCCTTGAAACATAAGAGGCTGTTTCTTGGTACATGCTGTTGATTGCTAACTCCCAAGAGGAGTCTTAGCAGGTATGGCCGTCCCTGCAGAAAACCAAGAAAATGCTTTTCTCTTTGATTTGATAGAAGGTTAAACCTAGGTACATGCTGTCAACCACAAACATCTGGGGCATGGCCGTCCCTCTGATGGTGTACCAAGGTTCTACCTCTTTCTTTCTAGAAAATTAAATCCCATTTCCTGGTACATGCCATGAGTTACAACAGGAAGGCAGTGGTATGGCCGGGCCTGTGGGGATGTGTACCAAGGTTCTACCTCTTTCATTCTAAAAAAGTAATCCCCATTTCTTGGTACATGCCATCAATCAAAGCAAGCTGGTGGGGATGGCCATCCCCGCAGTGTACCAAGAACATACGCTTATACAAAGTTTATCATTGGTACGTACTGTCAGCTGCATATCTCCAACTCCCCTGCAGGAAATAGGGGCACGACTCAAATGGGCGGGAGTAGGTTGCGGCACGCAGCGAGTTTTGCATGCCCCTCCACCTTCGGACTCCAGCTTCTCTAATCTGAATTCTCTCCTCATCTTCTTTTCAGACCCACATATCCTCTACTGCCATGAGTGCGGCGCAACAGCAGAGTTCGGGCTGCGGGGAGGCAAGAAAGGGGGGGAGGTCATTTACTTTTGCAGAGGGCATACCCCCATGACTGGCTGCTTCCGCATTGACAGAGACCACAAAGGTGAGAGCACTCGAGAAGCCTGCCCTTGAGTTGGCTCTGAGGTTGACACAACGTTCATAGCTGCTTCCCTTGCGTCAGCAATGGGTCTTTGAAAGTAGAATGTGAATATTGACGCAATCTATATGCTCCTGCAGATTGGGCAGAGGAACGGGAGATGCGCTTTCTGAGAGCAGAGGAGAGAAGGTTGGAGGAGGAGCTGCGCAACCTGGGAAGGGCCTCGTCCGCTGCAGAACCAGCGGCAGGTGAGCGTGTGACGCAATCTGACTTGATTGGTTGTTCTCTTATACACAATTTAAGGGCAGCAAGTTCCTTGTCATGCCTTTCATGGGTTATGGCTCCTTCGCTGTGCATTTTACACATTAATCAAGAATGACAACAACTTGACGCTTCACTGCCTTCTGCCTACAGCTTGGAATGATTTCCAGAGTAAGGGGGTTTGGGCTTCGATGCACATGAGCCCGTCGCTCATAGGTAAGGCACTTCGATAGCAGCTCTGTATCTGCAGTCCGAGTGTAAACAGGTGGGCTTGCTCTGAACGTGCAACAACGTGTAGAGCACTTGGGCTTATCCTACTAAGACATCTCCATTGTATTGATCTGGGAAATCTGATTGATCAGTTTCGGATGAATCCAGCCCGTCGCACATGCAGCATCTGAATGTGGCGTCCTTCCATGCAGCGACGCTCCTCATGATTGGCGGAGTCGAACGCAACCCGGGACCTACTACTGAGGAGGTGAGCCTGGTCAAGGTGAATCCTGCAGTTGAGGACTTGAACGTCCAGGAGCAACTTTGTGTCTTTTACCAGTGTCCATGCTATCAAAGTGCGAGCTATACATTGTTGTGCTGATCTTTAATGTCTCTCCACCACAGATTGCATTAAGGGAGAGCTGGCGGGATTATGATCTGAGAATTAAATCCAGGCTGCTGGATCATCTGGCGCGGAAGGAGTTTGAATTGGCAGACTGGGAAAAAACGCCTCCTGATGACCGGTCTGGCTATCTGACCCGATGGAGAAACGAGTACAAAGGCCCAGGGGAGTGGGCAGATGGCTGGGAGGCCTTCCTCAAAGCGGTTCCGGGTAAGCAGCTCTCTCTATCAGATGAGAGGCTAGCTACGAGGAAAAACGCTCGACGGTAAACTTAAGAAATTCTGGTTAGAACAGGAAACGAGGGATTCGAGCATTCTGGTGTTGTTGTTTGGCATGTGGCAGCGGGAAAGCTTGGAAAAGATGGCATGACAGGGGACTTTACTGACTAGAAGGTGTTGCCAGGGATCATATAGTTGCGTCGTCATCGATCTTGCCGAGGACACTGGTGCTTGCTAGGCATGGGGTGTTTTCTAGCAGAAGCGGAGTTGGTCTGGAGCAGAAAGCGGTTTGCTGTGCAATTGTTGGCAGACCAGGTGCAACTCATGAGCGTCGCGGTGCTTCTCAGCTGTCAGCCTTATGCAATCTTCCAATGGCTAGCTCTTCACGTCGCTCGCTGCCTCAGAGCTCATGCACCCAAGAGTCTGATCTGCTTATCCTTCTGCTGCAGTTGTGAAGAGGGGTCAGGATGCAGGCCAACCTACGGATGTGGGGAAGCGGGATGCTGATCAGGAGAACCAGAATCGTGAGTTCTGCCGCTCATGGTCTGTGGTCTTGCGTTACGGCATTGTCTGTATCTGCAGAGTGCTTCTTGAGGTTGCTTGTTGCTTGCGCGCGCTGCCTTACTTCTTGGCGCATGATGGACAAGGCAGGGCTAGGTCTAGCAACCCCGCACCATGCCAAGAACCTGCTTCTTGTCTCTCTTCTGGGGTCTTTGCTGATGCTCTTTGCTGATGTGATCGCCTTTTGCTAATTTCTGGTATGAACGCTGCCGACAGACCGCTCCTTTGACAAGCAATGCCTTCATTGTGGCCAAGTCTGCACATGTGCCTCATAGGCTTGAGCCTGCAATCTTGTGGGCTGCTTGTAGCATCGAGTGTTTCCTCGAGGTGATACGCATGTTTTAAACCCATTCTCCAAAGCATACACCTACCGGGAAGCTTAGGATAGTATGCTGTTTCTGGAACAAGCTCGACCTGACCAAAGGGCTTGGTGCTCTGCAGGGGATCCATCCAGCCATGCTAAACCCAACTTCAAGCGTTCCACATACCTTGATACATCAGAAACCGGGGTTCTTGCGAAGGGTCTGGTGAAAAGAAGGAAAGTGGAGCTTGAGCAAGCAGGGAAGGGCGTCTTCGAGATTGGCTGGAGCATCCTGCCGCAGGCGGAACCTTTGGGTGTCAGGGATCTACGTTTTCTAGTGCTGACGGCAGAAGAGAAGAGACTCGGTGTTGCGGTTATGGGGCGCTCCCATTTCAGGCGTCTAGTAGATCGTGCAATCCAGCTTATGGACGGAGAGCTGCCGGGCGGTGGGCGAAGGATTCTGATGCACGGGCCTGCAGGGTTTGGCAAAACACACCTCCTTCTGCAACTTATAATCTACCTCACAGCAGCATTGGAAGCAAAGCAGCAGCGGGTGGCGCCCCTCTTGGACTGTGCGTTCTTTAAGGCGGATGAAGTCGAGGCAATGAAGCAGGCCCTTGCGTGGGCATATGCGGGGGAAAGGGAGATTGTCAAAACCATCGCAAGCCTTGAAACGATGCGAGACGTGAAGGCTTTTCTTAGCGGGAGGAAGCAGGAGATCCTCTTCTGCTTGGATCAGTATCAGGAACTCCTAAAAGACTCGGAGGCTAAACAGAAGTTAGATGGTCTGCTTTACCACTTCAGAACCATTCTGGTGACGAGCGCGGGGGGTGAGGAGCTCACAACAGAAAACGAGACGCTACATGGCCTGGCCAGCAGGTTCCCCGTGCACTCTGGTTTGACTCAGGTACGCAATCTAGCTCTACCAAATCAATCTGCATGCGCTCTAATTCAGCTGATGCACCTCCTGAATTGCTCTCAAGTTCTAAGATGAGTCTGGTCATTCAGATCTCCTTTTCTTCAAGTTCGGATTCTGCTTTCTCTGACAGGGTAGGTATTTGGGTGCCGATAGAACTGCAAGAGCAGGCAGAGAGGCCTCTTCAGTGTCCACTTTATTTTGGTGGACGTGGAGTTTCGCTGAAATGACAAGCAGAAGATGCTTCCAACTGTTTTGTCGCTAGCTTGAGTAAGAGCCTTAGTCCCTAAATTACTCCTAACGAGCTCTTTAAGTTTAGGGTCAGGGATGCGGTATACGCATAGATTAGGGTAGGTTTAGGATCCTCCCACTAAAGACTTCTAATTGGACGTGGTCCTGTGCAGGAGGAGCAGAAGTCCTTTGACATCATCTACGGGACAGAGTGCACCACCCCGGCTGTCCAACGCCTTGTGAGGGAAAAGTTGGGGGGAGTAGCGGGGTGCCTGGCGGACTGGTATGAGGCCTACTACGGAAAGCCTCCGGGGGGCCACTCAGTATACCGAGTCTTTGGGCAGAGTCCAGCATTTCAAGTGGGGCCATTGGAACCGGTGAAGGAAGGAGAGCTAGATACGGGGGTGCTTGGGGGCGAGAGCAAGCTTGAAGGAAGTCAGCATCTAGAAAGTCAGCATGGGCTCGTGAGGAAGGACATTGCTACCGCTTCTAAAGCACCCGCTGTTACACGCGGGAAGGAGAGTGCCATCAGAGTGGAAGAGCTGCTCGAGGAGGAGCTGAAGGGCTCTGGCTTTGCTGAAGTGACTAAGAGTGAGCAGACAACGGAGAAGCTGCTTGCCGAAGAGCGTGACTGGAAAGCCTGGGAAACGTTCTTGGAGGGCAATAGGGTGCTGCAGATCAGCAGGGGTTTGAAACGCATCTATGACAAAGTAAGGGCGAAAGGGGCAAACAAAGTGCAAGAGTGGATAGACCAGATGAAAAAGATGGTTTACACGGACTCGTTTGTGGAGTTTGATCTCACCGACTGGAACGACATCGACTTACGGTATGTAGCAGTAGAGGGGCATAAAGTGCGGCCAGCATACCCGCTAGTACGAGATGCGATAGCCCACTTTGTGGAGCAGGTTCAAGGCCGGGCTGTCTTCTACAGTGACCAAGCAGTCTGGGCCTCTCTATCCCAGGAGCTTGGAGGAGAGCGGGTACCAGCGGTTGCTGGGCTGCTGACAGAACGCTGCGCCATCGGCGCAATCGTTGACGGTCTAGGTTACAAGGCTGTGCTAAAGATGGAGAAGAAGGAGCAAGTGAAATTGGTGTTCTTCAAACCCAACGGAGAGGCCTCTGCTGTGTTCGCCGAACAAGACGATTTCCGGAAGAGCGGACTCGAGATGCGGATTGCTTGCTTTGTGCCTCGGTCGCCGTTCTACCCTGCTATGGATATGGCCCTCCTGGTCTTTAAGAAGCCGAAGGGGCAGCCAGGTGAATATTCTGTTTCACGAGCCTCTTGTGATGGCCCTGACTTGCTGTTGTTGAGTGGTAACACCAAGCGCCCGTCCAGCCTGCGAGTGTTGCTGGTTATCGACTATCCGTAGGAATTGTGATTTTGCAGCAGCTTCGTGACTACCTACACATAGTCCTCGATGAGTTGCTAGATATCAAAACGTGGTTGCCAATCCCAAGGTTGTGTGACACGATGGGCTAAGTTTGCCATTCTGCAGGATCGGTGGAGCGGCTCACGAAAGTTCAGATGACACTGGAGTCAGCGCGTGAACATGGTCACTCGACCAGGACTGCAATGCATATTAGCAACGTGGAGCCGTGGCTGGGCAAGGCAAACCTTGACTCCGTGACGGTGGAATTTTGCTACATAGTGCCAGGTGATCTTGTCACGGGTGGGGTTCCACGGCACACTGAGCAGATTCCGGCAAAAATGGGTGTCACACGGGCACAAGCAGGGTCAATACAAATTGTTGCACATACTCATGTAGAGTTGGCTTTTGGTCAGCTAGATGAAAGGCTAGGACAGGTGGATAAGTGGAACGCGGGGAAGGTAGCCTAGTACCAGCGATAGCCGTCGAGCACCCACGATTCCGAATATGCATGCTCTTGTGTTCCCTCAGCTTTTGATTTGCGATCGTGGCTCACCCTGATGCTTCGACTCATTCTATGAGCACATTTAGACGATATTCGGATTGAGATTCTCCTTGCCTGAAGTGAGCGGAGAGCTTTGACTATCGATCGTGTCATCCAAGCACGTACATGAACCATCATAGCCTGTTGTCGCCAACCGCACCATGCACTTTGGTGTTGATGTATGAGTGAGAGAGCATTCGTCAGCCCGATTGGCCGTTGCAGGGCAAGAACGCTGGGTGCTTAAATTAGTCAAGCATGGCGTGTCTAGATGCCAGTTGGCCGACCTTACATGTCCGGGCTACCGCCTTCTGGCATAGGCTATGAGCCATAAGGGCCCTGGGGCTCCCATAGGGGCTGAGGCACTCCCATTACCGCGCACACACAGACCATTGCCATTCCCGGCCCTGGGGG